AGAGAGAGAGAGAGAGAGAGAGAGCGCGCACAAGAAAGAGAGAGAAAGAGACAGAGATAGTAAATGAGACAGCAGATGAAGGCCGTTGATAGCGCATTACTCGTGCCAGCCTCACGTCATCCTGTTATACGTCAGTAACGAAGCAGATTGGCAAGTGTGGACACTGCGGCTCACGGAACCTCATCTCATCGATTGCGATCATTAGCCGAGGTCATCAAAATTAACGGCGAGTCACGTGACTATTAGCCGACGATGACACGGATATGGAGTCACGATAACTCTTTAACCGCGTCGCCATTGTGGCTACGTGTTCGCGGCATATATTGTCCATAATACCCCGATAATCATGTGCACTTCACATATTGATGTTAATAAAATGATATAAATGTAATAATACTTTTTAAATATGAACATTATACATAACCTATAATAATGTTAGGATGCGATGCGCATGTCACCCGCTTCCGGTTACCATATAGTTACATATATACGCTGCTATCAATGGCTGCTATACTCTCAGGCACTGCTGCAGAATGCTTGCGTATTTTTTTACACAAGTCATTCGTACAGAAATTGTACGCAGCGGAACAATTAACTTTCGAGAAGTTTGCCTAGCTGCTATCAAATGGAAGAAATTTCCGTGTACGGATAGAATGTCCACTCGTCTATTGCACCTCTTTTTTTAAATATCGTGTAGGTTTACAATGAAACGACGACGACGGAGTCGATACAATGGGCGGGGATTGAGCGACTAGTGTAGTAGTACCACAGTCAGTAGTAGACTATTGGCACCACATCTCCCGTCTGCGCCCGCGAACATGCGTCGCTGCATTTGCATCGCGTGTTTTATAATAATATGAAATGTGTCGAGTTGATATATAAATAGATAATCAAAGCCACATGGTAGATATAGACGTATATATAGACTCTGCATGCTGGCTTCGCAGGAAGCAATGGGCGCAGTAAGTCGCTACGGCAACAGCCAGCGGTATCAGCTGACCAGACTTTACCCGTTAGACATATATTTCGATTACCCCGACCGGGCTAGGAAATAAGCACTTAAAGGCAAATTTGAAACAGCTTCCGGTAGAGATATGATTCGGCTGCTCGCTAAAACACGTGAGCACCTGCGCGCGTTTATTTTGGCGCGCCTAGCTTCTCGCGCGTCGCTAAACGAATTCTTGGTGCGCAAGTTTGCGCGGATTACGTCTGGGCTTCGTACGTACAGCCATGGTGTGGCAGGGTGCCTCAGTAGTCTGGCGTCGACTCCCGCACGTGTTCAATCATACTTACTAAGTAATACAGTATATCAGTAAATCAAGTATCAATATATCAGTAATACAATTTTCAGATAAACCGCCCAGCCGGCTACAAGGCAGCCCGAGTATTGCGGTTAGGTGGCATCGAGTTAGAGCATATCAGAAGTATATTAAGACTTAATTAAATAACTATAGTCATTACTACAAATATTAAATAAACATTTTATTATAGTTTTAATACTATCAATTGTTACAGAAAGGACAGACATTTCTGTCTATTATATTTCTTTTCATGTACCTATTATTATATTAGATCGTGAGTAGATAAATTTTTTTCTCGCTTTTAGTAATGGATTATTATCATTTTGAGTTTAATGATAATTATGACATGTATGTATGTACCAGAGCATGTGTCTATGCTATGTCGACTCATTGTAACACTACACGCTGATCTCAGTACTATAGTGTACTATCTCTCCTGGCTATGCTAGAACAGACTTCGGAGTTAATGTAAGATTGTTGCGATCACAACAGCTGTGCGGTTGGGGAGACCAATAATCGAGTTAGCACGGGCTGCTCAGTGAAGCTGGCTGATAATAGGGAGATGATGGGGGCAAGCGTGTAAGCGCCCGCTAGACAAGTAATCAACAGCGCACGAATCCCATCAGCAGACTCCCATATCTGTACGCATGTGCGCATGTGCGTTTACTGCGTGTATGTGCGCATGTGCGTTTACTGCGTGTATGTAGTATGTGCGCATGTGCGTTTACTGCGTGTATGTACGCATGTGCGTTTACTGCGTGTATGTACGCATGTGCGTTTACTGCGTGTATGTACCGCCTATGTGTTTCACCCCGTACGTGCGCATATGTTTGTAATGGCGGAATAAAGATTCGCGTCAAGAAAGTAAAATTAAAGCATAACTGTGTCTGTTTAGTTAAACAAGAAGTAACACATTACTATCTCACTATTATCTACACGGCGTAATGACCGTGTTAACAGTCTATTCTGTTCATCTGGCATGTAAAATTCTTACGCATGCTATCTAACTATGCTTGTATTGCATATAATATATGTATAATTGTGTACTATGCTTGTATATACCATGCTACACTTGTTTACTGCTTATTGTGTTTATCTGACGCGTGAAATTCTTACGCATGCAATCTATCTGAACGTAAGCACAAGAATACACCAGCCGCGTATAAACCCCTCAAGGTTTCTCCCTTATAGTGTGTTTATATTTCATCCCAGCATCACCCCAAGCCGCTATCGTCACGCACCCGGACAATTCCCGCTGATCGCTGTACGCCCTTGCCTCGGCGCACGTTTCGCATATGAAAACAGCACGTGTCGCCGATGTTTCGTGTTATCCGCAGAACGTATATATTCTCCAGCGGCGCGAGCAGAAGATATATTCGCACGCGAGCACGGCGGCATACTTGCCACTAGGAGACGCGCGCTTGCCGGACAGCGAGTCTCTGTACTGTCTGGCGTGGAGATGCCGGACGAGCGCGCGGACTATGGCGCGGACCCACGTATTGCATCCACGTCTGCCGCCCAGCTTCATTTAGCCCGGTTTCCTTTTCAGCGTACACGACGCTTGAGTTTCGTACGACTGGTAACCACTTATATATAATAGGCCGGCCGTGTTCGCAGGAAACCGAGTTGATGGGCGGCCAGCGATCGTTGGCATACTCGATGACACTAATCGCATGAGAGACTGGTTAGACGCTGTTGCTTGCGCCCACACACACCAGCGATGGGCACAGCGCGTATGTAGAAATGAGGGGAGGGTCACACGCATACATGAAAGAGAGAGAGAAGGGGGGGGGGAGAGAAAGTGAGAGAAGGACACACACACACACACACAGAAAGAGAAAATGAGCGAAACAGAAAGACAAACGCAGAGACCGAGTGTGTGTGTGTGTGAGAGAGAGAGAGAGAGAAAGAAAAAGAGGGAGAGAGAGAGCGAGAGAGAGAGAGAGAGAGAGAGGAGAGCGAGAGAGAGAGAGCCGAGACCGAGAGCGACGAGCGAGAGAGGAAAGAAAAGAGACGAGAGAGCGAGACAGAGAGAGAGAGAGAGAGAGAGAGAGAGAAGAGAGAGAGAGAGCAGAGAGAGGAGAGAGAGAGTAGATGAGAGAGAGAGAGGAGCGAGAGAGAGATACGGGTGACAGTTACACTGCCACATCTGCGTACGATGCCTGTAGACAGGACGTTTCACTGACGCTGTGACAAATACGACACGACGGAGATAAAAACAATCATGATAATAATTTATCAGTGCTACTATAATTCATTTCGTCATTCTCATGCACGTCTCGTTGGTTGTTAGCTGTTGCGTACGTAGTTAGCTCACTTCTTTTGTCTGTCACTCATTCGCCATCGCGTCAAGTTTCGCTAGTCGCAATAAGAAGATCGATAATGATGATGTATCTTGGAACAAGTTCGTAATAACGCAGCATATGTATATATAATTATATGTATATGTGTGTGTGTGTGGGGGGGGGGGGTGTTGTGAATATCAGATGTGAAAGACACAAGAGGATATAGAGGTAAGAGTATTTTAAGCAATTTCTACGCAAATAGAAATATTACACACAATTGACTCTCACATAGAACACAGTTTGTGCACAGATACGTCATTATCTCGAAGACAGGCATGGAAGCTGAGGGGAGGAGGACCGCTCCTGTAATACGTGTCTTTATCAACACTCAATCACGGAATGTTTACCCCGGGCTTAACTATCTAAACAAGCGAACGATAAGGCCGCATTGAGACGTAGGGGAGGGGAACACAGCTGCGGAGGCGATAACATGTAAACTACCGGCACAATGCGTACACAGGGTAGGCTAGTTTTACGTGAATACTGCCGGGCTTTGATCCGATGTTAGAGTCATCTCTGACAGTCCGGTCGTACGGTGTATACTGTAAGCAAGACTGATGCAAACATATTTCCATGAGAATCGGCGCGGAAGGCAGTAGCGGTGCAGTTAGGATAGATTGCATCCAGTGATAAAAGTTGCACGACGCATAACTCTGTGCATTTTGGTTTTGCCTCGTTTCACCCATGACGCGCCATTTCTGAATATATTAATGGCGGCACCTAATCTGTCTAAATTAAAATCGTGAAGGCGCGTTGCATTTTTACGCATTCTGAACGAGCGAAGATAGAATTTTCGACGAAGTTCCGCCTAGTCTAGATATGATTATATTTATAGTGCCGGTTATATATCACGCCATATAACCCAAACGGATACTTAACCAACTCACACTATACATCCGACTTGTAAAATATATTCCTGGTGTCTGTTTTTAGTTATTAAATCATATAATGATAAAAATATTTCGGGTTATAAAACTCATCTATGGGAGTAAAATTCCCATATTGATAAAGCCGTGGTAGCTGTGTTAGCTTAGTGGTTTAGCTTATGTAGTATTTTATGTTACTCAGAACATCGGAAGTCCGCGCTTGTTTCCCGTCGTAAGCGTGTCACCGACTGAGCTGTATATAGTAACATCTTATAACGGTATTATAATATCTAGCTCAGTGGACTGGTGACACCTGTGAGACACGTGCATGTAAGTTGTCGCATCAGCCCCCGACATTGCACGAGGGCTCCCCGCTTCCCGTACGTACACATTCTAGGATTTCGCTTGAGTAAGACAACTATAGTTATGCACGGGATAAGTGGGTGTTCCATATAGTCGCTGGACTAAACTATAGCTGGCTTGCCTGTTCTTGAGTCTTCTTCATCGCACTTGTGCACGCGTCCAGTTAATGCAAGACGAATGATTTCACGATTAAGTTCTCGTGCTCAGTCGAGAATATTCGTACATTTGCTGGAGCGTGTACTGTCATCTTGCATTTGCCATACATTCTGCCTATTGTCATCTTATAAATTACATTTGCGAGTACTTCACGACCACTGGATTTGTACTTTTCACTGTACTAAATAAACCGAATTTCATATACTTGGTTAATTAACAATTTAGTTACGTACTTCTGTTGGAATTAATTATTTCAAATGACGAAACTATGAAAATAACTGCCCGCCACCTGATCCTTAGACAACCCAACAGCGATACGAATTTTGATTCGTAATTTTAAATTCTTCGCTCATAATTTCACCGCCATACCTTTAGTCTTTTAACTAGAAGACGTTGCAACTCGCACACACAAGCCGTGTTTGTCTACCTACCTGGGTGCTTGGCTTTGTAGCGGAAGCGTGCTGCGTGCACGTTAACCGACGAGCAGACGAGAATCAGCGTCACGGCGCAGAACGAAGCGAGACCAAACTTAAACCGCATCGTCTTTCTTTCCCGTCTTCTCTTTCGCAGCCTCTGTCCTTCGTTCTATATGACCGCCGGTGTCGCAGCGTGGATGGATGCGTGTCGGGAAAAGTCTCCCGTACTGGGTGAACGAAAATGATTGCGTTAATACACACGTGTAAGCTATATGTCACTGAACAAGCGAGTGAAAAAAATACACACGAGCGTTATAAGAAAATGCAAAATGCACATGAAAAATCCCACTACACAGCCGTGTAACAATAGTAATATTACTAAAATAATTAATTAATTAATTAATACTAGAGACTTAATTGCTGCTCATGGAAATTTGTGAACGATTATTATTATTTACTTATTTCTCTTTTTATTTATTTATTTATTTATTTATTCAGGTTATATATATATATATATATATATATATACATAATTAATTATTTAGTTGTAAAACTGTCATTTCCACGCGACGAATTTTATCAGTTATTTAAAAATAGAACATGTATACTGCAATAGTTTGTGCGATTCTGGGATCACCGCACACTTGGACCTGGCGACAGAGTTAATACGGAATCTGAGTGCGAGCAGTCGAAACGAATTATTAAAAATAATTAGGGTAAGCGATTCATTGCTGTTCACTGCCATCGACAATAGCAAATTCGCGTGCGATATTGTGCTCAGATGTGATTCTCACAAAGCACTTACGGCTGCGCTGCGCTCTTAATCATTGAAACTTCCTTTCAGGTACGAAATCGAGCATACATTATTTAGCAGCCGTGGTTTGCGTTCTAAATGCGTGCATGTAAATCAGGCACCGTATTAGAATAACCCAAGTGAGCTCAGATAATAAAAACCAAAACCTGTGATTAGGGAAAGACAAATATGAAACGACGAAAATTAAATGAAATTACGCACAAAAATAAAAAAAGGGAAAAGGAGTAAAACGTAGCAACATTACGTAATAATCGGGGAAGTTAGTCATGAACAGATCTGTGATTTGCTATGAGGAATTGTTGTATAAAATGACAAGAATTAGTTAATTAAATAGAAACAAAATATAGCATCTCTAAATTCTTCGACTTAATTTCATTCGCATCTAAGTTTCAATAAAATTTTTAGTTATCTAATCTATCAATTCTAAGTTATCAAATAAAATTTAGCAATAGTTTCATTCTTCGTTATAATACGATTATAGATACGTTGCACCAAGAGTATAAAGAAGGAGAGCGTACAACGGTGAAATGGTGAAACCATGTTGCAGTATTAGTCGAATTAATAAACTTTCCCCGTTTTATTTTGACGATTCTTTGCAGTATTATTGATCAGCTGTCCTACCTTGTTAATGTAAAACAAACCGCATGTCCCTACGATGCCCCTACGCTGAGATAATAAGCGGTGAAAATCTGGTATATTCGCCGAAAACCGACTCGAGATCAGTGTTTACTGCGACTGTCTCTCGCTTTGAGATAACTTCGGGAAACCTTAACTTCGGATAACAGATTTTCACCGCTCATTATCTCAGCGTAGGGGACATCGTAGCGACAAGCGGTTTGTTTTATATTAACAAGGTAGGACAGCTGATCAATAATACTTCAAAGAATCGTCAAAATAAAACGGGGAAAGTTTATTAATTCGACTAATACTGCAACATGGTTTCAGCATTTCACCGTTGTACGCTCTCCTTCTTTATACGCTCTTGGTTGCACGTTACCACAGCGAAAAATGCCAAAGACGAATTTATCATCCCCAACGCTCGCGTAAAATTCTCAAATACATCGTAATGCGTTTGCATGACGATGCCATGACACATCAATGTTAGATAGTTGTTTGTCGCTTAAAAGTGCTTTGAGTGGATGATGTCGTTAAATGATGCTTTTTTAATAATACATGCTTGTTTATTTAACGATTTCGTATGAATTATCTACTTTCACGATGCTTCAATTAAATGGGAAAGTGAACGCGTATATTCCACGAAGATACAGCAAAACGTACGGACCAAAATCGGCCATGCATATCGAAAGCTTTTGCTGTGCTCGAACCATTTTATTGCTTCATTCAATTTT